TTTTAGATGTTACTATAGCCATTATGTTTCAATCTAATATTCCTTTTCAATTCTATGAAAACTATACTTTAACTTTTACATACCTAATCAATAGCAATCCTACACACCTTTTACATGAAAAAAACTTCTTTCGAGATTTTATTTCATAAAACTCTAGTTTTTGCGCATCTTAAAGTTTTTTGGATGCTTATGTTATGCTAAAGTTCTACCATGTCTTGATAAATTTGCTTCTAGGTCTAAACCTTATGTTTTTTGGGATATCCTTACCCACCAAAAGGATATAAATTTATGGACTTAGACACTAAACAAACTTTTGTTTCTTAGAGATGTTTTGTTTCATAAAACTTTATTTCCCTATCATTCTTCTTTTCTTCCTCAAGACACAACTCTTATCAAATTTCATCCTAACAGTTTTATTAAATGGATATATGATGATGTTATGTAATACTTTTTTGTGTCTTCTACTCCATATTCACCAACTAATTAACTCGCCTTCTAATCATCCATCACAAGCATTCTACATCATAGCCATCAACTATCTCTATTCCTTCCCCTATCATTTATCCTAGTACTACAACTTTCTCAAAGGTCTACTAGAGTATCTCAACATCGTGTTTGGTACCTCTTCGATGGTCTACTAGAGTATTTCAACATCTTCTTTGGTCTAAATATTTTTTTATCTTACCGTACATGAATCCAACTACACCCACTTATCTTATATCGCTATATATTTTATGTCCGACATGATTTGGTACCTCTTCGAAGGTCTACTAGAGTATCTCAACATCCTAGTTGGTCTAAAGATTTTTCTTATCCTACCTTACAAAAATCCAACTACATTCACTTATCTCATATTATTAGATATTTTGTGTCCGAATTCATCTCTTGTCTTTGTGTCTCTCTATCACATATAGCTTTTTCTAGCATTTGTTTCTTCTATTAGGGAACTTCATATCTAAAAGCATTAAGACCCCTAAGTGTGTAAATGTTATGACCTAGGAGCTCTAAGCTCTTTAATTGAATAGAACATGGGATTTAGTACCCTTGCCATTTGAAAAGAAACCTTTCAAGTGTAAATAGATTTACAAAGTGAAGTTTAATTCGATGCCGGTGTAGAAAGGTACGAAGCCAATTCGGTAGTTAAAGAGTATACTCAACTAGAGAGCATTGATTATGGTGAAACTTTTTCTTCAATAGTTAAGATGATTAGTTTCAGAACTATCATTACTCTAGTTGCTATAAATAATTGGCACATGTATGAAATGGATGTTACTAATTCTTTTTTACAAAAGGATGTCTATGAAGAAGTTTATATGAGTTTACCACTTGGATTTAGCAATCTTAATCTCTTTATGGTTTAAAATAAGATTCAAGGCAATGGAATTCAAAATTTACTAATAAAATAATATTGGTTAGTTTTTTCAATCTAAACATGATTATTCTATGTTCATTAAAAGGATAAATGGGAATATGATTGTTTTGTTGGTTTATGTGGATGCTATTTTGATTACCGATGATGATGTAGAGATTATAAAAGAGTTGATAAGTTTTTTTACATGAGACTTTCCGCATCAAGGATTTCGATTAGTTGAAATGTTTCTTGACAATAAAGGTTACAAGATCCAAAATAAGGAATATATCTTAATCAAAATAATGAATATGTCTCAATCAAATAAAGTAAAGTAATCAAATAAAGTACGTCATGGAGTTTTTTACCCGATGCAAGTTTACTTGATTCAAAACTAGTAGAGATTTCATTAGAATAGAATTTAATACTAACTACATCATAACTTGATGAAGTAATAAATGGTGGATTTTAAGATTCAATTATACCTAAATCTATAGAGTATCAAAAGTTGATAGTAAAGCTTTATATACTTGATAATTACCGGACTGGACATATGTTATATTGTGTAAATTCTAATTCAATCTATCTATCAACCAAAGAATTCTCATATATACTTAGCACTAAGGGTTCTTACATATCTTAAGAGAAGTCTAGATCTTGGAATTCTAATGTCTTCTTCGAGTACATTGAATCTTAGAGTGTTTTGTGATTCGATTAGGTTTCTGTTTTATGACAAAGAAATCTTTGACTAGTTTTTATGTGTTTCTTGGTAGTTCTCTTTTATCTTGGAAATCAAAGAAATATAATATTGTTTCTAAATCTTCAACTGAAGCTCGAATATAAGACTATGCTTCAATTACGTGTGAAGTGGTTTTGTTAGTTGGATTGTTAAAGGAATTGAGGATAATAGGTTTAGAAGCAAGCATAAAAAGGAATTGGGGATCATAGGTTTGGAAGTAACATAAATGAGTTATGACAAGAAAATTGCTTTATACATTGCCTTAAATCCAATTTTTTATGAAAAAGCTAAACATATTGAGATTGATTGTCACTTAGTAAGAGAGAAGTTGGGGAAAGATTGATCAAGACTATATAGGTAAGAACATGAGAACGAATTGCGAACATCTTCGCTAAAAATCTTGACGACGAAGCATCATCAATATCTTCTATCCAAATTGAGTGTTTATGAAATGTATAAACAATCGACTTGAGAAAAAGAATTAAGAGAGTATTTATTTTATTTGTACATATACTTAATAATATTTCTAGCTATAAATAATTAGATGAGATTGTAAATGAGTATTATAAACGTTAGGCATAGGGATAATTCATCCATGTAGGCTTTTAGCTTTTAAGATCATTCATATATATAATCTTTTATGGAGTCATCTTTAGTTTTATAATTCTTTGTTCGACGATCATTATGCTTTTCCTAGCTCGGTGTTATGGATGCCTATAGTAGGTCGTCCTTCACGAGAAGCCGGGATATGAATGAGGCCTTCCTCGAGCGATACATGAGCGTTCTCAAAAAGATACAAGCTTCAATAATATGGATCCACTTGTAAATGAAAGCAACGTTTATAACGCTAATGTTTTGAAGCGATATGATTACCTAGTTGAGTTTGGAAAAAAAATTGTTAATTTGAAGAGAGAAAAGAAAAGATGAAAGGGGTTGAATAAAAAATGGTTCAATGGAAAATTTTATTCTATTTTATTACGATTTAGTAATTTCGGATTCATAGTACCAAATCGCATAATTTACCCCTTAAGTATCGAAAGTTAGGCAAATATGATCAAAATTGTCCAATCTCCGTTATATGTAATGATCAACCTAATTAATCGTTACTTGAAATGTCAAACGTCATTTTGACATTCCAATGTTAATTATGTTTTTTTTAATATATATTTTAAAATATTTTTAATTTTCTAATCTTGAACTTTTTTTAAAAAGTGTTTTCTTATAAATTATTATAAACATTATATATATATATATATATATATATATATATATATATATATATATTTAATCCCCTAATTTTGAAAATTTTAACTTATAAAATATTATAAAATTAGGGAGTTGATCCCTTAATTATGCTCATTAATTGATAAAATATTTTTTTAAGGTCTAAAATTATGTATTGTTAATTATGTTTTTTTACAATAACATTTTATAAAAAAAAGTTCAAAATTAGGGAGTTAAAAATATTTATAAAACATTTCTTTATTTAATTTATAAAATATTTATAAGAAAAAAGTTCAAGATCAAGAGGGTTAAGAATATTTTTAAAATGTTTTTTTTTAAATATAATTAACGACAAAATGTCAAAACAACATTGGTTTGACATTCTAAATAATGATCAATACAGATTGACGGTTGACCATTACATATAACGGGGATTGGACAATTTGGATCATATTTGCCTAATCTTCTATATTTTATGATTCAAATTACTTAATTTGATACTATGAGTTCGAAATTATCAAATCACAATAGAATAAAGGCAAACTTTGTCATTAAAAAAGAAACACATAAAATCACCTCTTTTAGATACATCTAATCTATATATTTGACAACTCAACTATTTTAAGAAAGAAAAGGATCGAGAAAATAAGTTCAATCGAGAAAATTACAAGTAATTTATCCATTTTTTCTTGCAATTTTAGTACAATCGACTTGTAATGCTAGAATTTATGGGGCGGAAAGGAGAGAAATAAAGTGAGAATCGAAATGGTCTTTGTGTATACGTAGAAGAGGAAACTTTGCAATCTTTGGTAGTTAGAAATTGTTTGGGTATCTTCAAATTTTGTGAAAAATAAGTCGCAATTTGTTTGGGTATCCGAAATTTTTTTTCTAAAGCTTTAATGATCATACGTTTCGGACCAGCTTTTACTAAGTCCTTTAATTAGATCTTAAGAGGGCTTTTTTACAAGAAATTACTTTCTCATAGTTTTCGTTGTGTTTGAACGAGCATGTGGGGGTAAACCCACTCATTATCCAAACTAGGTCTTAAAAGATATATAGATAAGCTAGTGATGAAAAATGGATACCTTTATATTAGATGCAAACTCACATTAGGGTTTATATTATTGGTTAGTGAGTATATGTCCCACATTATTATATAAGTCTCGAATTATGGAGAGATGGTAAAAAAAAAAAAAAATTTCTCTCTCTCTCTGTCTCTCTCTTTCCATAAAATCCTCTCAATTTGAAAATAAGAAAACCCAAAAATTATTGGGTTTAAAAATTGCGAAAATCCCTAATTTGTAATTACCAAATATAAGGGAATTTGTGCATCAAGATCAGATTGACCCTAGCCACAACGGGTGCTAATCAGATCCACAACCACCGCGTCAATCCCCTAAATCACACACAATCTAACGGTCAAAAACCTAAAACAAAATTCAAACTAATAATCCAACGCCCTACAAAACCACAACCCCACAAAAAAACTAGCAACTAGCCGTTACAAAGAGCGTTCAAAACCCTCAACGTTTCTTTTTCTCTTCAACATCATCTATGCCCTCATTCATTGCTCTCTCTCTCAGATCAAAAGAAACAAACCTATTTCCCTCACTCTCTCTGTCTATCAATCTAAACCCTCACAAGCAAAAAAGCCGTTTTATTGATTTTTGTATTTTGAAGTGATTCTTGATGGAGTCCAATACCAAGAATCCAAAATCAGCTACTCCGCTGAAAGACCCCCATGGATTTCAATCAAACTTATCTGAGAATTCAAATCCAAATCTTTCCCATTCAAGCCCTTGTTCAAAACCCACATATTCTCCTCTAACAAAATCTGCAAAATCCCAAAAAACGGTCTGGAAGAATCTTACTTCGAATCAAAATCCAGTCATTTATTCACCCAGAAACAAGATTAACGAAAGAAGGTTTGTGGTGGCAAGAAAGCATTCAAAGAAAGAGACTTCGAATTCAAATTCAAGAACTGTGGATTGCAAGTGCAAAGAGAGATATGGGGGAAACGTAAAGAAGTGTTTGTGTGTGGCCTATGAGACATTAAGGGCTTCACAGGAGGAGTTTTCCAAGAACAAGAATGATGGGGAAGACAAAGGTGAAACAGATAAAGAAAAGGCCTTTGATTATAGAGTTGAGAGAGAAGTTTTGGAGGATGAGATAGAAGATCATTTAATGGCTCAAAATCTTGAGATCGAAGATAGGGAAGGATCAGATGCTCAATATTCCTGCGACAGTGAGAGACCAGGACAAATGGGTAGTTCTACAATCAAGAGAAGGAGAGATAAGTTACTTGAAGAAGCAAGAAACAGTGTACCTGACAATGGGAAAGTGAAGCATTTGGTTGACGCCTTTGAGAAGCTTTTTACCCTTCCAAATCCGAAGGAATCAGATAAAAATGAAGAGGAGGAGATAAAGGAGAATAGAAAGAAGGTAATGCAATGGGCTTTGCCTGGATTGCAGCCTCCTAAAGTGGTGCCTGAGACTGAGTTCTCTTCTTCTTCATTCTGTGTATCTGATTTCTTTTTGACTTCTGAGAATCTGGGTCTGGATACAAGGATTTCTATTTCCTCTTCATGGGATGGCAGTCAAGGCAGGTTAGTGATGATTGCTAAATCGATTTTATCAAACCCCGCATTGGATAACATATTTTTGTTTTCAGCTTAGGTTCTCATTAGGTGTTAACTTTCAATTTTTTGAAATGTCAGTAATTCTAGTAGGTCATCTAATGGAAGCAGGAGAAGCCGAAGAAACGTGAGTTTTTTTTTTTTTTTTTGCCTCCTTTTTATTTCTTATTCGATCTATGTATGTGTATGATGTTTCAGCTGATGGTTTCTGTGACCTTGCTTCGACTTTCAGAGCGCTGAGTCAGGTGCAACAATGGGGGGAGGAGATTGAAGAAGAAGCAACTTAAAGTCACAAGCCAAAAGCCATTTAAGCTTAGGACAGAAGTGAGTTTAACTTTCTTTTTTTTTTTTCAATCACGAATGCTGGCCATGGAGTGTTGACGTTGTAAAATTTGGTGATTGGTTCTCATTGTAGCAAAGAGGAAAACTGAAGGAAGAGGAATTCACAAAGAAGATACAAGAAACAATGATGGAGGAGGAGAAGCTGCGAATACCTATTGCACAAGGCCTTCCTTGGACAACAGATGAACCAGAGGTTATTCCTTTCTCTGATTGAAGTAGGAAATGAATACTGCAAGATGTTTTATAAACTTGAAGATCAGTTTCATGTGCTGTATAGTTATAGCATGTTCTTAACCCTTACGATTTGAAAGGATATAAACATTGTACAGAACTGAGATTTGTTGAATTGTTTGTGGGCACGAGGATTATGCAATAAAGGGATTCAGTCAAATACACTGGTTTTTTCTGTCTAATTATGCATGTCAGTTGTCATTAGGAATCATGGATGTGAAACATGAATTAATTATATGTTTGTGATCATGAATTACTTACGTTGGCATTTTCTGCAGTGCCTAATCAAACCTCCAGTGAAAGAAAACACCAGGCCCATCGATCTGAAGCTCCATACTGATATTCGGGCTGTGGACCGTGCTGACTTTGATCATCAGGTAATTTTATTACTATTCTAGTAATTAGAATACGAGGTTTTAGTGCTGATTTTAAATGTGCACTGCCCAATTTATATTCTTCTCATGGTTGATAAGTGCCTCAATGTGTGGGCAATCATGTCATTTTCTGTTGTTGATTATAGCTAAATTAAACTATAACAGCACACAGCCTTGAAACTTGGATTTTCATCATTTCTTTGCATTAAAATGTTATCAGGTAGCTGAGAAAATGAGCCTGTTTGAGCAATACAAGATGGAAAGAGAGAGGCAACAAAAGGTATATATGGAAAATGCATGATTTTGAGGTAATGTTGCTTCATTTTTATTAAAATCTTCACATTCGTTGTTGTTTCTTGTAGTTGGCAGAAGAGGAAGAGGTCCGCAGATTGAGAAAGGAACTCGTTCCAAAAGCACAACCCATGCCCTATTTCGACCGGCCATTCATTCCCAGAAGGTAAGGTTTACCTGCTTTATTTATGTGCCTGCATGCGTCTTTTAAGGGACTGCATTTTCATATGCAGTCTTTATGGCTATGGTGGGGTAGTTTACAGTGGCTAAGATATAGCCTTCTCCTAAGGGGAGAAAAGCAAAGGACCATGGTTTTGTTCAAAAGGGTGGGGGGCATTACACAGTAACTAATGGAGCACATTTAAAATTTTTGGAGCTCATTTAGAATTTTTAGAGCTAGGAGGGCCATTGCCCCAACCAACCCCTAGCCCCTCTGCCATTTTATGCTTAACTTTCAATATTGATCCCAAAAAACTGGAATTCCCCAAAACAGGAGAAAGCATGCTTATTTTCTCTCAATGATTGGTCTGGTTGTCTGCTTTTTTTGGCATTTTAAAGCGTTCTGGTTAATAATTCTTGAAACCATCACGCTTTGTTTCAGCTTTCGCTCAGTGTCGGCACTTCTTTTCAATTTCTTACATGATGGTTCCGTTCCATTCATGGGTCCTAGTGCTTAAAATGAATGTTTACATTTCCTTCAGAAAAATGAATGTTTACATTAATTCTTATGGTAGTTAATATGCACAATTAAGAAGGGATGATGGCGACCTTATAATTCTTTGTTCTCAGACTGTTGGTAACCTTCGTGGCATTTTGGTCTTGATCATAAGCTTTAGATTGTACGGCTTGTACTTTGTCTCCTTTGTTTGATTTGTAGATTGTGGTGCTTAATAGTGTATGGCAACATGTAAAGCTCCTTTGTTTGATTTGTATCAGCCAGACCTTCTAAAACATGATCACACTACATATTGTTGTTATGTGGAGACCCCTTTCGAGATAAAATGCACATTTTCCGGTGCAGCTTAGCTTATTCGGTGGAACGAACCAGTTAAATGACGCATTTTCTATTGTGTTTGGATTTGTTAAGGTCAATGAGGCATCCAACAGTGCCAAGAGAACCGAAGTTTCACATACCTCAACACAAGAAGATCAAGTGCTGTGTATCCTGGAACGATGTCAGCAGCTACACTTATGACCAATAGGGCAAAACAGGAAGAAAAAGAATCGGTGGTGGTTAAGGCATTCGATATTCATCCTTCTCAATTAGTACTTAATGTTGTTGACCATGGTTCTGCTTATTAATTTCTCAACTACTTTTTTTTTTTTTCAAAATCTGTATATGAGGCAACCAATTTAGTTGCAATTTTGGGAACTGTCTTTGGCTTGTGTACTTGTGCAGTGAAACTAGTGAAAAAAAACATATGAAGTTCTCATTTCATATTTGGCTTTTTTCTTCAAAATTTCCATTTCCCCAATTTATTTTCATATCCAACCTTTGAAATGAGGGATTATGCGGTCATAAACAATGCCTCTTGCTGTCAACAAACAATGTTTATTGTTTTGTGTTTCCATTTCCTCCTGTTGTTTCTTCTCTCCGGTTCTAAGCGTCCAGCCACTGTATCTCTCTCTCTCTCTCTCGTTTCTTCTCTCAAGTGCAAATGTTTTGTTGCAAAGTTGAACAAACCGAACTCTTTGTTCGTATGTAGAAATTCAATTGTCACTATTTAACGACCATTGTAGCTTCCGTCACTAAAGCGTAGTAAATAGTTCTCTCTCCGATCTCGTATTTGTCGCAAAACTATCATTAAATAATGATTGAATTTCGTCGCTAAATTGTTCTTCCTAAAGTTTTTTACGGATCCGTCGCTAATCAATCCATCACTAAACGAAAAAAAATTTATTTCTTTATTTTTAATATAAATTAATAGTTGTTTAATGTTAACGATTGTAACAAATAACTAAAAATAATACCTTATTAAAACAAGATATATTATTTAATAAAATTAAAATAATTTAATTTGAAATCAAATAAATATGTAAATACGTTAACGTGTATGAAAACATTAAAAGTAGTTAAAAAATAAAAAATCTAGTGCTCATCATCTCCTACATCATCTTTTAGCTACCGTGTATTGAGAGAAATGACTCGATTCCCGGATTGTGAAGGGTCGATATAAAGGACGCGAGTCCGCTCCGGATCCCGTAACAACCCCATCACTATACGTAACCGACTTTGTAGAGTGCTAACTTGATTGGCATGTTGTTGAATATTAATCTTTATCTCTTTGATCCTATCTTTGTATTGGGTGAAACCTCCTAATTATTACAACCAAGATACCACGAATTGGCAGAGGATGAGCTAGCGCTAGAATGGGAGTAATACTAGGACGTTTGTGATCCAATCCGTATACTTTATGCTTCTTCTTGCCTTCTACAGCATTCGAATATATTTTGGAAATGTCGATGTTTAGAGATGATGAATCACCCTCCTACTCGCTCCTTAAAAGCTTACCATTAATGTACGTGTTCCCGCATCATTGAAATAATTATAATATTAAATTAAAAATATATATGTTTAAATTATATTGATAGATGTATAATTATAAAAATAAAAAAACTTATCATTACTATCTAGGATCTTTTCATTTGTGAGTAGTCATGAACAATTCATAAGGATTTGGATTATGATCCAATTTATTATGCTAAAAAAAAATAGAGAAAATAATATGAGATGTAATAAATATAAAAATTAATTTATAACACAATGAATAATAGGATTTACCAAAAGTTCAACATGCTTAATCAAAGAGATGGACCCCTTGTATGCTTAGATGAGCCAAGCACCGACACCACTCATCTCCGACATACGATTCCAAGACGCTTGTTGAGATCGAGATTGAAAATTAGGTGTGGCCCAATCTCGGTGCTATGCTTCCCACACTTGCTATTTAACAAATGTGTGTCCGTCATTCATGTTCTTAAGCTTATTCAGTATGTCATCGTACCACTTTCATGCCGGACCATGCATCCTTAATTAGCACGTCGATAACAATATCCTATAAAAAGTACTTCTACATGAAGAAAAAAATAATATTAGTACATTTCATGTTAAATTAATATTTTAAATAAAATATAAGTAAATAATTAATATATTATCCTAAACTCATTAAAGTATAAGTTTTTCATCTCTATAGAGACAAACTTCCATGTAAAGTCGACGACAGCTAACCGCTCCTTCAAAATTATAGTGATTTTTGTGGAGCATTTACTTGATTGAACCAAATTATCGAACAAAATAAATAAATAATAAATCAGTAAATTAATGATTCTAGTATAATGTATGAAAATATAAAACTAATTACTATATGTAAAGCATATTATTTACAAGTTATTCATAATCCAAATGATATGTCGTCCATCATCATATCTAGTAGAGCTTTCTAGAGCTAAGGAAATCGTAATGTGGACATCAACAACTAGGGGCATTATCGCGAAGAGCACTACTAGCACGGATGTTGATGTGCTTGCTCTAGGGATGCCGACGTGCCGATGCCGATATCTAATCCATGGCACCCGGACACTTGTACTACCAGCACCACGTCCATATATATTGTCACCATCAAAGCCATAGTCATTGACACCGTGATCGGATCCGCCTAATCCACATAACATAATTCTAGAATAATATCTAAAACAATTTAATAAATACAAAAAATGAATAACAATTCGACTAAAAATATATTATAAATTATTTTTATTAAAATTTTTTTTTTGATAGTCTTCCCTATAAAATGCACCCTTTTCCATTAATAGATACTTCAAATGATCACATAAACATTGAAATTAAATCAATCAATAATTAATTTTCGCACACCGAAACCGACACTTATCTCAAATACTCCATCAAAATTAAATCTCAAACTTATCTTGCCAACTCCATCGTAAAATATTAAACTAACCTTATTTACTCTCAATTCTTGGGATCTCGAACCCCTTGGGTTCGATGTGCTACGACGTATCTTAACACATTTCAATAATTATATACATGAAATCAAATTAACTCAAATTCAAGCCTAATTAAATTTAACTAACGAGTTAATTAACAATTTTCCATACAAATAAAATTAACCAATTAACCAATTAATTAAATTTAATCTAATTAATTCATTAAATGTAAATAAAATAAACCTAATTAATTCTAATTCAAATCTAATTAAATTTAAACCTAAATCAAATTAACCCTAATTTAAACCTAATTAAATTTAACTAACAATTAATTAACCATTTCCAGTATAAATAAAATTAAAAATCAACTAATTAATCAAATTTTACCTAATTAATGAATTAAACTTAAATCAAATTAGCCTAATTAGAACTCAAACCTAATTAAATTTAACTTTCAAATTAATTAACCATTTCTAGTATAAATAAAATTAAAAATCAACAAATTAATCAAATTTAACCTAATTAATTAATTTAACCTAAATAAAACTAACAATTAACTAACAAATTAACCTAATAATTACCAAAAATAACAATTTAACAAATTAATCAAAAAATTAACAATTAATCAAATTTAACCTAATTAATTAAGTAAACCTATATCAAATCAACCATTTAAACAAAATTAACCTAATTAATTTAGTAAACCTAAATCAAACTAACAAATTAACCTTGCAATTAATAAAAATGACAATTTAACAAATTAATCAATAAATTAACAATTAATCAAATCTAACCTAATTAATTAACTAAACCTAATTTAACCTACTTAATTAATTAAACCTAAACCAAATCAACCAATTAATCAAAATTAACCTAATTAATTAATTAAACGTAAATCAAATCAACCAATTAAGCAAAATTAACCTAATTAATTAACTAAACCTATATCAAATCAACAAATTAATCAAATTTAACCTAATCAATTAAGTAAACCTAAATTTAATCAACCAATTGATCAAAATTAACCTAATTAATTAATTAAATCTAAATCAAGTCCAACTCTTAAGCAAAATTAACCTAATTGATTAATTAAAACTAAATAAACTAACAAATTAACCTAACGAGTTAACAAAAAATAACAAATTAATCAAAAAATTAGCAATTAAAACTATACAAAAATATAATTCAATCAATTAAATTTAAAATTAACCTAACAAATATGAAAATAACTAACAATTAACAAAAAGAGAGAGAGAGGGGAGAGAAATTATTTAATAATTCGAACTTGAAAAGAATGAGAGGAAGGACGGAAAAATGAGCAATTT